TTGAATGTATTCCAACATTTGAATCATGCAGTACACCATCAATATCAATGTCAACAACAAACTTATCTAGCAATTCTGATCACACACAACCTCGCAAGAAAAAAAAAAATGAAGATAAATATTTAGAAGATTTACTGAACAGTGAACATTGAGAGTCAAAAAGTGGCATTTTTAAAGCAGTCTTATAACAATAATGTAACCACTTCAGAAATCGACGAAGATATGTCATTTTTTCAGTCTCTAATTCCATATTTTAAAAAATTAGATCCAATCCAAAAGCTTCGAGTTAGAAATAAGTTTCAAAATATTTTAATAGAAGAACTATTTCCGATCCGAGAACAGGCATTAAATGTTTCAAATATACCACCATACATCGCAGAATCTACTCCAGATCCTCAACTATCAGTTTCATCATACAACGCTCAGCAATATACTTCACAAGAACCAGGTTATCATTACATTCATTCATCTAATGTTCAATAAAAATTCAATTTACATTTGTTACATTTTATTTTAAAAAGTAGAGAAGTCATCTGCAAATACCTACAAACCTACCTTTTTATTTTTTTTTTTTTTGTAATTGAAGGGAAAAGTATTTTTTTAAGAATTTGTTTTATTATTATTATAATTCTCAGTGAAGGTACACTGAATTATTATTATTTGTTTAACTTTACATATTTGACAATCATATTTTTTATTAACTATTCCTATTATATACCTATATTAAGTTTTTGTTTTTTTAATATATAGGTTAATAAACTTGTAATTAAATTAAAAATGGCATTATTTACTTACCTGATCGTTACACTTACAACTAATCTTTCTTCGATTGGTATAGGATCTTGAAAATTTGTATATTTAAGGTCAAATTCTGGTCTTATCATTTCTACTAAGTAGTCAAATGTTTCAACGGTCATCCTGGTATACGATCGAAACAAAACGTCATTATTCCGGAGTTTATTATATAAATGGTAAAACTCTCCAAAAACTAAACGATCTTTTAAAATGTCTGAATTGGTATGAAACGATCTTTTCATTTTTTTATACCTGAACATAATATAAATGTTTATAATTTCACATTTACCTACTATACATTTTTATTACAATTTATTACATACCTTTTATATAATAAATACTTAAGTGCTGTATTTTCAGTTAGAACCATTTTATTTAATAAACTTAATGGCAGAGACATATTTAACCAACACTGTAGTCTGTATATGTGATAGGTATAATGTATATATATTAATAATACAACTTTAGGATTTTAGAACTTTAGTATATTAGGAAACGACCGTTTGGCGTTACTGCACTGCTGCATATGCCACTAGTATTGCGATCCCCTGCAATATTATCGTATTCGTCGTATTTACATTGGACACCACCGCGACAATCGCATTGACGGACGGCAACGCGATTCGCATCGGTCGCGTCGTATAACGATTATCGCATTTGTCGGATTCACCTAGGACACAGCGTTACATGACATGACGACTGAGACGCGGTACGATTATCTGTCACTCTATTATTTTTACTTTCAAGCAACGTTGCCAAGTTTCAAGGAGCACGGTAAATACTTATACGGATGATACACTATTTTCTGACTTATGTTTTGAAGGCTTATATTGAATATCGGCTATTTATTTCCGAAATTGGAATACAAAGTGCATGTGAAAAATAAAAAGCCAAAAAATGTACTTAAGTATTTGGCTATAGTCAGTAATATGTATTGGAGCTTCAAAATTGAACTAAAACATATTAAATGTAATTTGTAAAGTTTTATGAATTATTTACTTATTAATTTTGTGTTATTTCCGTATATTTAACGATATTTGTTTAATGAATATATGTTTTGTTAATGCCTAACAAATAACAATATTATTGTTTTTTATGACGTAACCTGCGTATGGATACATGAACCATTAGCGGTGTAATACAATTTTATTTCGATTATAACATATGCATAAAGTATTAAAGTAAATATTAATTTTATATATATTTATTTAAATATTAAAATTATGTACCTATGAAATTGTCTAAGAGCGTACCTACTTTGTTGAAGACAAGTAATGATCAGAATGTTTTATTAAAATAATAATAAAGGTGTACAAAAAAGTTGAGTTACAAAAACAAAATAAATATTTACATTTTACTGAAGTAAAAAAAAATAGATTAATTAACTTATAAACAAGTTAAAAATGACCTTTTCTGAGGCTATAATAACTGCAGCTAATAAAATGTTCACATAGCTATTCAATTACAGATTTTGGAAATAAAAATAAAAAATTTGGATCATACTATGTTGCTTCCTATGTTATATTAAATTCGAAAAAGAAATAGCTGATAGAGTAGTATTCCACCCAAAACACTTCATAACACTTCTAACTCACAGCTCTGTACTAAGAAACCAAGGTAAAAATGTAATGTAGTAACATTAAATTTTAAAATACGTGATATAATATAGAAACGAAGTGAAATACCATTTTGTATTATCACAAATACCTATAAAGACCAAAAAGATTATCTGTGAAGTTAAACACTTGTTTACTTAGTGGGAAGTGTAAACAGATACAAATAAATAACCGTAATTATAAATAAATTCCTAAAAAACAAAAGTAAATAATATAGGTAATTATTAATAATAATAATTTATTTCCTGCAATTTGTTTGATTACTTTCTACCAAGTTAAATCCATCAATAATCCTAATTGTCATTTTAATTATTTATAATACGTATTACAAAATGTTTTACCAAGTTTCTTATTACGTATTTAGTCATTCATAAATTGGCCATTTAATAACGTGTAGCGGAAGAGTGAATAAATTATGTATGGCTATATATAAAAATAGAAATATTAATATTAGAACCAAAGTTGTTTAATTAATAAAAAATCTATATAGCTTAATTATTAAGTATGATAAGGACCTCGACATCATTCCGAAACTCTCGACGCAATCCTCGTACCCAACCCACACCAAAAAAAAAATTCCGAAATTTCTAAAATTAACTAATCTAATAGAATAAATTTAATCGTATTGTTAAACTAAGAATATAATGTATAATAATTGTAAATAGTTATTAAGACACGTCAACTAATGGCCTATAGTGTCAGAGTTGTAATTGATATCAATAAAAAAATAATAATAAATAAATACATTAAATTACGATGGTGTAACGACTCTATAATAATGTAATGCGTGATCCCAATTTTGTTTATACTGATTAAACTAAGACATTTGCGAATCAATATTGTTACGAATGACATTTTATGATGTCTGTTTTCATAATTGTTTTCGCATTACTATTGTTATAAAAACAATTGAAAAATTATCAAAACAAAATGTGATCATCGAAGTTTGACTAGAGTTAATCATTATTTGCATTCACAACACATTACAAAATCACAAAATAAAAAAAATTTTTAAATAGCTATAATATGTTTAACAATCTAATTATCTTAAATTCAATAGACTGGTCGAGTTGTCATTTACAGAAAAAAAAAATGAAACATTTTTTAATTTTTAATTATAAACATTTTTGGACCTTGAAGTAGCTGGATATTTTTCAAGGAGAAACGGCGAGACGTAGTCTCGAAGTCTCATCTGAAACACCGTCGAAACTGACGTGTTGTCTGTACATAGTATAGCTGTACTTGTCACTTGAAAGAATAGCCGTAGAGCCAGTGGCGTAACTAAAACTTCGATTGCCTGTGGCGAAAAAATCCAGCGGGCCCTTAGTCCTTAGATTTCAAATTTGTAATATGAAGAGCATGCACTTACTCACACAATTTATATCTAGACCCACCCCTGCTATAAAAGGTAATAAATAATTAAAAGCATATTTATTATACTTTTATGAATAATATGGTCATTTTTTGTTACACATTATAATAAGAATTTTATTTTTTTAAATATTATAAATAACCACTTATTTTAGGCAGTTTTGATACTTTTTCTTGTTCTTCCATTTTTTTTACGCTTTTCATAGCCACTAGGTACTTTTTTTGACATGATCACAATATCAATTATTTGGTTCAACGAGTGACGACAACTCACAACTGATGACAGAATAACTAATGACAAAATAATATAGAAAAACGACGGCTATTCAATTTTCAGCTGGGCAGTACAATAGACTGTATAGCGTATAATATGACAAATGATAATTGATAACGAATCGAGAAATCGACAGACTTCTGAGACTTCAATACGGTATCCTAGACTTGTAAGCGTGTTGCGTGTATCAGTTATTTTTCTAGTTATTACATTTATTTTACTTTAAAATGATTTAATTTTACTAGAACTTATTAATAACTAAAATTCTGTAATAACGGTAATCTGTTTTACTTAAATTGCTACATTTTTTGAAGGGCCCTCCCCGGCGTTCTGGGGCCCTGGGCCCGTGGCACTTGCCCGTCATGCCACCCTATTGGTACGCCACTGCGTAGAGCGTGTTGATTTAACACTACACAGTCACTAGACTCACTAGTCATTATAATAATGTTTTAAATCCTAATATAAACATTAGTTAATTCAATTGTGTCCACAACCTTACTACATTTTTTACGAATAGGTAAGTGTGACTTTCTAAATAATAATTTCACATGTCGATAGGTAGGTATTAGAAAATATATTCTTATTTACATAATCAAACATGAATTTTATTGAGCCTTGAGATAAATACCTACCTATAGTATACCTATAATACTACAGTGGTACACACACATGATGAATAATTGAATTATTTAGTTAATTTATTAATCTTAAATGTCATCTCAACCGGTGGCAGATCGAGACTCGAATAATCAAGTTCACTATAATGTATTTATAATATTATAGTCCTGCCATATTGAAAGTGATATCGATTGCGTCTAAAGAGAGAAACCCATGACGTTTGAAAGAGAGAGACACGGCGGTTGTTGTGCTCATGGAGAAGAAAGATATAGAAATTAAATATTAAAAAATATTTGAAGTTTTCTTCATATCTCTTCGTATTAATTCGTATTTTTTCGTATTTCTTCGTATTCGTCTATACTTTTTTCTTCCAATGAAATATTTATTTTCTCCCGCGTCATACCTACTATTGTTGTTTTTGTTCTGGGTGGCGTCGGTTCGGCGGTGGGCGGTGATTGGTCGTCGCTTATCCGTGTGGGAGAGAGGAGAGCGGTATTTGGAGAAAGGAGGAAGACGCGCACTCCTTACGACCTTACTGCGTATTATAATATTGTTGGTCTCAGATTTCCGGTTCGTCGTTCTTCTTAGTTCGTGGTTCTGGTTTTAGAATTATTGCGTCTGCAAAAGTACCAATTTATTTTATCACTTGATACCATAGAGTAAAGAATATACAGTATCCGCACTATCATTGATAACCTATCGTCTTTCGCCATTATCTTTTCGGTTCGCCGATTGTCGACGCCAACGAGCAAAGTGAGCCGTCAAGACTTTTGGAGTGGTCGGTGCTCGGTGGCCAGTAACGCATCATCAAACAACTCCACTGCACTCTACTGACCTGCAGTTGGCATAACGAGGCACAGTGTAGAAATTATTGTTGGTCTTCATTGCCGTCTTTCTCGCAGGACCTACACATACTAACTCATAATGTCGGCAAACGAAAAGGTACCCAGATGTATTATTTTCATTTATTAGTGATAAATCACAAATTTAAATATGTTTAGAGCAATATTATGTTGACAGACTGACTTTAGGACACAGGACAATGGTTTTAAATAGTTAACTTATTTACTTAGGTAATTGAAACGTCAATTGAAGCAATTAAATCATTTTAAAATTTTGATTATTTTTGGTACCAATTTTTTATTTAATCTATTGATGATAGGTATTTGTCTCAATCCATTTCTGAATAAAGAATATTCATACAAAACATTGTTTAATAGATTTGAATTATTGGAAGAACTGTCTGATTGATGAAGATCATAGCTGAAGATATTACATTTTTGTCGAGGGCAAAGAAAAATTTAGTAGAATTTAGAAATTATAAAAATGTGTGGAGTTTGGTGGATCTAGAGTGAGAATGATAAAATATGTGAATGCCACAGATCTTACTGGTATTTATGTTAAGGAAAATGAGAAAGGTGTTGTTGTTTATGGAAAGGTAATATGAATTGGAAGAATGCATTACATAGATGTCTTGCCAGAGACTGGTTTTAATGTTAAAATTACATTTTTCTGGAAAAATTTGATAATTTAATCAGTTATTGAATTATGTGCTATGGATTAATTATTTTAAATCGAACATATTAAGACATTCTTATCTGATGTATGTCGATTAAAACTAATTTTCTTAAATGTCCTATACTGACATTTCTGCTGTTCTTGGGATACCTAGCTAGTAGTTAATATAGTATTAATAGAAATATCTCGTCAATGCCACAGGTTAACTTCTGTTATCCAATTAACATTAATAAATAACATATTGTTATGTCGGGATATTGAAAAACATTGTCATTGGATCAAGTTAGGTTAACATAACCTTCATATGTTGTTTATGTTCAATAATAAGAATATTGTATTATTAATGTGTAGTACATAATTGCACACGAAGTTTATTGTCATGTTTAAATATACGTGTTTTTGTATACCTATTTCATAATAATTACTAATATTTGTATCATAGAAAGCAATAATACTAGCAATCGACATTGGAAAAAATTCTTTACAGCAAGACTTAGATGGAAAAACATATTTTGAAAAATCTGTACTTTGTGCTTCAATGATTTTAAAGAGAAAAGTAACCTATAAATTATATTATCAATTACATTTTTATAAAAAATAAATTATGCATATAAATAATGTTAATATTGCATATTATGTTTTAGATATTAACTGAAAGTAAAGATCATTTGGCATTAATATTGTTTGGGTCATCTCGTACAATTAATCATCTCTCATCACAAGGATGTTGTTATAACAATATAGAAATTGTTACTGGTTTAGGTCCAGCAACTTGGGATTTATATAAATCTGTTCATCGTCTATCTCCATCAAATTTAGCACTTTCGGATTGGATCAGTACTTTTGTTCTTGCTGCAGATATGCTTAAAAATCAGACCAAGTATGTATATTACACTATTATAAAATAATTATAATGATAATTTATATTTTGCTTTGATTTGAAATATATTTGATGTTTAAAACAATTAATATTAAACTAGGTGTTTTAATCAATTCCCATTTTATTTATTTCTCCATAAATGTCAAGTGTGATCTTTGTACTAGAATAAAAAATTTAAGAAATTAATACTTTTTATTTGTTTAAAAATAAAAATATTCACATAAACTCCAAATTTGTACAATAAAGAGTCAACTATATTAATTTCAAAATTTGAACATCAACTAGACTTTTGCATATAGTTAAGTTTAATATATTTTTGATTTCGTTAAATTTGTCCATGTATCACATGGTCTAATTTCATACTTTGATAACTAATTACATGATACTAACTTATTTTTAAGCTATAATAGCTATATTTTTATTTATTTTATTTTGCTTTTATTATTTATCTACTTATTCATCTAACTTGTAAATGTTTAATCATATTTAAACATAATAACAATTAATTTTTCAGAAATGAAATCTTCTCTAGCCTCCGAATTGTTATGTTTTCAAATCTTGCAACTGACATCGCACTTGGTAATATAGATGTAATAGCAACCTGCTTAAAAACGGAAAACATTCATTTAACCATAATGTAAGTTTATTTTAAAAATATAGTTTGTATATTATACTGAAAACCATTACAAGCATTTTATGCTGAGATCTTATAACTAACTAGTTTCACTGCGTTAAAATAGTAAAATTATTTATTTATCAGATCTCAGATGTCATTTTTATAATTTAAAATTTCATCATTATACAATAGTACAAATATATTAATTATGTAATATAACTAGCTGTCCTCAGTATTGCCAGTGACAAGGTTTGTTGCTAGTTGAAAATGCCAACTCTTTACCTTATAAACGTTGTTCACATTGTTATTTAATATTCGGGTTTAATGATGTTCAAACTTAAAAAATGTCATTGATCATCTTGAATGCTTTCTTAGCACATATTTACATCATAGTATTAATGTACCATGAACACTTTAAGCCTATAAGGACACAAATTAACACATTAATTGCCAAAGTGTTTACAATGTGCATGTAGGTTTCTGGGCAACTTTTGAAAAATAAGCTATTATTTGGTTTATTTTACTACTGAAAAGATGTCACCATGATATTTTTGCAATGAAGATTTTCTACTTTTCTGTAGATTTTCCTAAAATTGTCTTTTATATCAACCCTGTTCTGACAGTTACAAACACAACAAAAACAAAAATCAGCCGAATCGATCTTACCGTTTCTGAGATTAGCTGTTACAAAGAATCTACTTTCACGTTTTTATAGATAAGTGAAAAACATATCAATTAAAAATGTAAATAAAATGTTACTACCTATGTGAAAACTATTTTTACAAATTTTTTTCATAAATACATTTACAATCTCATCTATATTAAATATAAAAATTAAATTTTAACCCTATATCTCAATGATTAGTTTTATTTACCTAACCAAATAATTTATATCAATATTTATTCAAAACTATACGGTATATTGATAATACAATATTATGTGATGTACAATAATGAAACTCTAAACTCAACATGAAGTATCACAGTGAGCTATAACCCGAATGCCACTTTAGAATTTATGTTGTTTTATTTGATATTTGTTACCAATTAGAAATCATTATTGTGATATTTTGTAGATTTCTTTTTTTATATAAGTTTTTGAGTACAATTAATACTGTATTATTTTCTTGTATTCTATTAAATAAAAATCAATGATGCACAGGTTGGATCTCTTAGAGGAATTGATGATTATATATATTTTATAATATTACCTTTAATTAAATACCAAAGAAATCTTATTCAAAGTTAATTATATGATTTCAGAGGTAAAGATTGTGAAGTAATAATATCACTCAATCCTGCATTAGATGTATTTCTTAAGAAAACCGAGGTAAAATAATTGTATCATATTTAGTGTATATTATTGTATATTATATTATATAGATTAATTTATATTTCCACAATAATGATAATTCAAAAAATAAATACATTCTCTAGGAAACATCTAAATTCTTAGAATTGATAGCCAATGTACAAAATGTATTTTATATTACAAATATTAACATTATTTTATTAACAATTATTATGATGAAATTGTTTTAGCTATCATATTCTCTATAACTTTCAATTGTTATGTAAAAAGGTATATGAGTGTTTCTATGAAACTTGTATTTTACTTTGATTTCGTTAAAAAAAGGGCTGAGCTCAACTGGTGCGTCTCGTTTATGTTTATATGAATCATAAAAACTGTTATTAATTTTATCTCAACAATATTGTAAATTGTAACACTCAAAAAGCCTATGGCATTAATTTTGAACTTAAATAATTAAATCTATTTTAAGAGAGTCACAACAAAAGGAGATACATCTTTGAAAACCATTGGGTTTAGATATAGTAAAACTGGACCTCAGGGATTAAAAAAATAATTGAAAAGTATTTCAATGCTACACCTCTTTGGATATATGCCAGGTGTTATTTTTTGCAAGTAAATTGGAGATGTTATTGAACATAGATAAAATAAAAATATATACCTGTTTTAATTGTTTTCTAATTCAATTCTATATTGGACACCCTGTTAAAACAAAATTGGCCCTTTTTTATGAAATTATTTTAAGTGCATCAGCCTTAAAGCCAAGCAGATTAAGTGAATGTTAAAATCGTATTATTCAGATCATTTTATAAGAAAAAAAATAATCCTAACCTTATGTTTATGATTAATTATTTTATCTTTTAGGCGACTGCTGTTAATTTTGAATTAGCTATGCCCAAATTAAGTTATTATAGACAAAAAGAAGTAACTGAAAAATCATGGAACGCCCCTTTAAGCTTTGGAGAAGTTTTTGATATTAAAGTTTTTGGCTATAAAAAGGTATTTACAATTCACTTGTGTCTAATGAATATTTAATTTTGTTAATTTATTTTATTATTTCAAGATAATAAAAATAATTAAATTGTGTAAACGTTTGTTTAAATATAACAGATAGATGTAACTACTGAAAGCTCTAATTGGTTATTCAGTAAGAACTATGAAACACAATATTCTACTGCAGAAATGAAGAACAATTTTCTTAAAAAGGCTAATAAAAAATTTCAAATCCATGCTCTTGAAGTGTGGATAGATGCATATAACTATGGTGATAAAATTGTACCAGTCTTCGGTGTGTACATCACCAACAATTTAAGTTTAATTAAAATTATTGTTATGTAATTTAGTGACTATATTACACAACAATTAATATAATTCAGTGGTTTTCAACCATTTTGGGTTCACGGTTCCTTTTGATTTTGAAATCAAATGTACGGCTCCCATACAAATAATGATGATGGTAAAAATAAAATAAACATATTCACATTATTTAATTTAGCTTTATTTAGTGATATATGCATACCACACTGAAAACAAAGTGGTGGGTGTTGCATGATAAATTAAATAAAATTATTATATCCACCATGGTCTGTTGTACAATTGATGGATTGGAGCCGATTATTGCTGGCCGAGGTGTCTCACACACGTGTACGGGTTACGGTTCATATATGGAGAGAATGGACTTACGCAGCCATGAAAAAAAGATAACAAAACCTTGCTCTTCTCATATAATAACTTAAAATGAAATAGGTAAGGTTAGGTATCCAAGTGAAAAATATATTATAATTTTATTTTTAATTTTTTCTGCAAACGCTGTCTTTCTTCATAATAACCGATGATGCCCCTTTGGGTTGTGAGCCACTACGCACAGGTTGAAAACCACTAAATAACCTAATATGTTGTATAAATGACATTTTTTTCCTAGATCCAGAAACAGGTAATACAATTTTTAAGGTCAGCTCTAAAAGATGTTTACAAGTACTTGGATTCGCAAAAACTACAAATAGCCAAAGATCATTTTTAATGGAAGGAGCATCATATATTTTTATACCCCATAAAGTAAATTAAAGTGTTGTTAATTTTTATTTACTTTTTCTTCTTTTATCTTCAATTTTATTTATCAACTTATTAACACCTCACAGGTTTAAAATACAGAGCTTATATTTTCAAATTATACAAGTTAAACTAAATTATTTACATAATTGTGGAATGTAAACTATACAATATATTTTGTTAATATTATTTTCATTACTAATACACTCAATATATTATAAGAATCATGACTGAAATCCAAGTTTTAAACTTTGATGCTATTTATAGGACTATTTAACATAGAATAATTTAAAGTATGATGGGAGGCAACAGATATTCTAGCATTTAAAAATGATTTTCTGCTTAATTTTTTCTAATAATTCTGTTCATTGGACCATTAATATAATTTGACAAAAACAGAAAAGATAGGTCAATTGATTACAATAATATATAGGTGGCTAATACAGATATTATTATTAGTGTTATATCTCTATGGTACATATGAAAATCTACTGTTTTTGACCAATCTCCACCATATTTTGCTCACATGTTATCCGGGATCCTGGATGGGTCATTAGAGTATAGAATAGAAGCCACAGATAATAAAAGTAAAATATATTGCTGAGGCTTACAGAATCAGAAATATCCCATCAATTTTGAAGATTCAGAGAAAGTTTAGATGATACATTGAATTAGTTATTTTATACTATTTATCATATTAAAATCATTTGGTTCAACAACTGGTTCAGTTAAGAAAAAAAGTTACCCATGGTCTGCCATAAATGGATTGCCCATCGTGATTTCATTTATCCCCTGACCTCGAGTAATATAACTAGTATTAACTATAGATTATAATTTTATTTTGTTATAATGTATTTAATTTATTTATTATTATGTGTAGCAAGATGTTATTGCATTTAATGCTATTTTCCATTCTATGGTTGAAAAAGAAGAAGTAATGCTTGTTAGAAAAGTTGATTTAAATATCAATTTGTCAAACATTGGTGCACTGTTTCCCCAAAAAGAAGATAATGAAGAAGTATGTATATCAAAATGTATATTTTAACCAACCATTGCCTATAAATTAGATTAAAGTCTTGAGCCTACATTAAATGTTCCATTTTTAATTATTCATTTTAAAAATGTATACAATATATATCTATTATTTTTTAATAATTCTTATAAAACACATTGTTGTTTAAGTTTTTTGTTTACGTCAATATTCCATATGTTGAAAGCGAACCATTGTTTACACTTCCATCATTAGATCCAATTATCCAACATATTGAAGACAAGAATCTTAAATATAGTTACTCAGAAGTGACAGATATATTTGAAGATGGGTAAATAAAAATATTATTTATTATAATTTATTTATTTATTTTAATAATTAATATTATTTAAGGAATGAATTTGTTATGTCAGAATATGAATACGACCCTAATTTACAATCTTTGTATAATTATATTGTTCGACAATTAAGTCCAGATGGATTAGATTTAATGAACACAACTAAAAGCATTGCAAAAAATGATGAAGGATTTAAAAAAACATTCTCACTTCCACAAGAAGTTTCTGAAAAGTATGTATTTTGTATTAATTCTAAGAAATGAAACAATAAATAATGAAAATAATATATAAAAATATGTTTTTTTAGCAGTTGTTCAGAAAAAGATAATGATACTATAAGATTTGTTCGTCATAGAGAATTGGACGTTTCTAATCAATGTGTGATTACAGTATTGAACCCGATAGAAGATTTTAAAAGACTTTTGAAAAATGGATTTGATTCTGCAATTGGTATTTAAAATTTATTTTTACTATATTGTTTTGCTATAGGAGTACATATTTTATTTGTTATATTGTATGATTCTTGTTAATTATGAAGACATGACGTAACCAAACTTTTTATTGGAGGGTGGGTCGCAACCTAATATTGAAAACACTAATTCAATTAATTGTTAATTTAAATTCTTTGGTCGACAAGCTTAAAATTCATTATTTTTTAATGATAATAATACAGTAAATAAAGAATATTACAATAAAGGTAACACACTAACTAATGTAATTGAAAGCAGTAGAATAGTATCTAAAATTAGCATACCCGGTTCCACGAGAAAACATGGTACTGCCAGACCAAAATCAGTTATTCTGCACATCTCGTTGCCACACTCTGCTAGGGAGGGACCGGTTACAATAGCAAGGTAATACGTGGAATTGGTATGTTATCTTGTGGACAGAGTATAGTGTTTGTTGGTTTATATTATAAAAAGTTAACATTTTAAAGTTCATTACAGCTTGTTAGCATTCTGCTTAGAATTCCAAAAATAGCTATAGTTATAAGTTATTTCATAAATTCTAGCATAGGCATTGCTTTGTTTATAACTTATAAGTTATGGTGATATGTCTGAATAATGAGATCATTTGAAAGAACAATTTGTATGTTTAAATTATTATAAGGTAAAAATAGTTAATATTTAAGACTAATGTACTTCTGAGTACAAGTGATGAATTTTTTCATATCCATATTATGTAGGTATTTAAATATTATAACACACTTATTGACTTGTACTAACTAGTATTATTTAGTAATAATACCTAATTGCCTAATTTACTGGGTATTGTACAGACTATAGAGTGTATTTTTATGTTTAAATAATGCATACATTTAAATGCTAATATGATGTTTTCAATACTTAGACTTTTCACAAAATGTATGGAGTATCTTGTAGCTTAACTAACATTGGTTATGAGAACCTACACATTTTAATGAAAATAGTGAATTGGAAGATTTTTCTGAAAATGTTTGATCAAAAAATATTTAAGTATTTAAAAATATAGTTTATAACTACACTTTAAAATTTCAAAAATCAGAAATTGAATGCTAGCATAATTTTAATATTAAAATGGGATGAGCATCCTTTATAATATCATCGTATAATATAATAGTACATTCATGTTTTCTACATCGTCATTGATATCGTCATTGCCTTTTGGTAAAAACGCATTGCCACACTGATGAAAATAGTCAAAAATAAGTTACAGGTATAATGATTAACCACTAAATTCTCTTGATTCTACTTGACAACTAAGTTCACAAGTTGATGTATCTATGACTTGTACGGAATTGAACACCTTAAAAATAATTTATTATAAAAGTGTGATCTGATCACGATTTACAGGAAGAAACTGTGCCTCGGCATCATCTTGGCCATACTCTTGTATGAAGATAAAATTCAATATTTCAAATAAATTTTTTTTTTTCTTTCTTTCTATTACTGTTTGGCTCATTGTTGTTATACTAAATAAATTTATTTATATATTTATACTAATTATTGTTGCAGTTTGTAAAAAGATGCAATACATAACTCTAAACTTCATAGAGCGTAGTAAAAATCTAGAAGATTTAATCAAACCAGTATCAACTTTGAAGGCCTTAAGAGAATATTATATTGCCAATGATGATGTGAAGTCTTATAATAATTTTATGCATCTCGTAAAAGATGCAGTTCTGATAACTAGTAAAGAAGATATGTGGCCAAAATTCATTGAGAGTAAGTGTTTCATAAATGTAAATAAATTATTTATTATTATTATTGAATAATATAAAATCAAGCTGAGTAGGCCATATTAATTATTATTTAATTATTTTAAAAATTTAATTTTCTTAATTTTTCTTTTGGAGTATTATTATTATTTTATTATTTTTTATTTTTTGCATATGTAATGTGTTCAATTTTACTACATGATGTGCACCTTTCTTTCTGTAGCATGACACAAAAAATCAAATTAATTGGTTAATTAAATTAAAACTTTTTTTTTTGGTTTTTATATTAATAATGTAAAAACTGAGGGTATAGCCATTCTTTAATTATTTACCTAACTTAAAACTATATGGATTTTGGATACATCATAGATGTTAGTAGAAATAATTATTTTTAGTAATAAAAATAAGGATGAACCTAATACATAATAATATTTGACTATATTAAATTTATATGAACATATATAATTTAAAAAACTGTTAAATAATGTATTAAATCTTAAATGTACAGATATAATAAAATATAAAAATGTATTTAAGGTGGAATAGAACTTATTACAAAGGAAGAAATAGAAACAAGTGATATTTCACAAGAATCAGCTGAAGAATTTAAAATAATATCAGGAGGTTTGGGCATTGAATTTATTATGGATGAAATTAATCCAGTAAGTTTATTTATTATTAAAACAATATAGCTGTGTTTTAAAGAAATGTACAATGAATCATTAATAGTTGATAATTTTTGTGTGATGCCAAAAATGAAACTATACACTATGTATTATTTTTTTTAAAGATGGAAAAAAATATTACATTATGTCCTAGCTAGTGCATACAGTTAATATTTTTACCATGCTATTACGCACCCATACTTTACACACATTTGTTGTCTCTGCCTTATAAATGAATAACGTAGCAAATTTTGTTCAGCATATCACATTTAGGAGTTTCAGCTTCTTCGGTTTAAAAATTTGAGTGAATCAACCTATCATGAAACTTAATTGTTGGAACATTATCTATGTTTTTATGCGGGGGTTTTTTGATGATAGTTCAATTTTTCAATACATTTTTATATTACATTTTAGAGCAAATTAAAATGCTTATAACTGATATATAAACTGAATTATTGTTAAAAACTTTCATACAGACATAGGTAATGTTCTTAACATTAAGTTGCATTCTACTTTAAACTATATAGAAGCTAAACGTGATCTGCTCTGTGTACATTTGCTATATTATGCACTTGTAAAATAGAGGCTACAAATATGAGTGTAGCGTCCTCTAGTAATGTATTAAAGTATACTATTTTTTTTTGTTTTTGTGGCGGGGGGGGGGGGGGGGTCCCATTGCCAACCGAGTAAATTTTGTATTCCTACACCGGTTGTCCGTTAAAACAGGGTACACAAAAATAGTTAAGTTGTTGCTCATGTTATAAATACAATAGTTAAAAAAATGTAAGTTATAAGAATTTATAATCCAACAGTCTACTTTCAGATCCATCTATCAAAATTCAAAAATATGTATATGGTACTGAGTAATATATGAACTTAGGTATAGAGCGTTCCTTATTTTTGGAGACACACAATATGATGTTAATCCTGGTACTTTTTGTTGTATGTAATGACATAACAAAAAAAATAGGGGGGTATTAGGTACATTTGTATTCAAAAGAAGTAGCAACTATATTATTAAATAGAATAAATCAGTACCATGAAATAATTTAAACAAATTCATTTTTATATGCATATTGAAAAAATAATAAATGTTGTATACAGTTTTAACTTTTATTTGAATAATTATACTTTAAAAGTCTATTTTTGTGTATGTTCTTCTGTAAACTTATCAAATATGTTTGGGTAAATTTACCATATTAAACTTATTTTTTATCATATTGAGTACTATTCAAATATTATGTATACATCCACGACCCAGGTATTTAATATATGAGACCCAACTCCTATGATTGAGGAAAATAATACATTCCCAACCCATGATTAGCAAAAATGCCGTACAAATATTTACAATTATTATCATAACAAGTTATTTTAATGGATATTTTAATAGTCTGATTTATTATGTTTCAGCCGATAGAATTTGTGTAAATGGAAACAAGTAGAACTATATAGTATAAAAATATACTTAGTATAACTACACAATTAAATAATACAAATTATCTTATTATAAATTAAGTATGATTTATATTTTATTCTCTTTAGTAAAAATCATAAAATATTACTAGAATTTATGTATTTACTAATATACAGTTTTATATATAGCAGTGGTCGGTAACTTTTTAGAATCTAGGGCCGCATTCAAATTAAAATATTTTGAGGCTATGTTAGATAGAAATTAGTCTTTGAGTCTTATTTAAAAAATAATAATGGCAGTATTGAATAGTTGAGCTGGCCACCAGTTTCCGACCATTATTATATAGTACCAAATACAAAGTAAAAATGTATCTTGTAAATGCTAGATATTATGTTCAATACAAAATATTTTTTTATTATTTTTTATATTGTGGTTCCAAAAATAATGACTTCAGTGATTTAGTATACAATCATAATATATCAATGTAAAGTATTTTATATTATTTGCGACACAGAAGATGAATAATAATAATTTTATAATTATAAAAACAAATTTATTTTAACTAGTTTATTAAGCTTCAAATAGTATTGTAGTGGGAAAAATAATGATTTTAAATGTGTAATAAGATTTTAATTATTATTGTAATTCTTATTTTTTTTTTAAAATATGGAGTCTGATTTAAATTTAAGAATTGTGTACAATGAAATAACATAATATGGTTTTGTTTATAAATAATAAATAATACATGTTATAATTTTTAGTGTTGGTGATCACCTATCAGCGATCATCCCTGTAATAAATTGGCTTCTTATTCGCACAATATCGATCAAATTCTACCTTCCATTGCCAGATTAAATTTCATCCTAAGGTTTTGTTTTATCAACTCGTTCTAAATACTTACATTGGTTTAATTTAAAAGTAATTTAATTTCTTTTAGTTGTGCGGCTCGAGTAGTGGCCTACTAGCGGTCTCCTATGCATATTTAGTTTCACAATCTAGTATCTATACAATAATATTCACATGAATTGCATCCTAAAGTGGCACCGTACAGCAGGATACATTTATTGTACCCCAGGTCTGCATTTGGCTTAATGATGCATTTCAATGTCAATTGCTTTCAGTGCTCAAAGATTTAAAGATCACAGACATTGCTTAGTGCTGTGCAGTATTTTAGTTTAAAGACAAAATTGTCATGTGTGCAATGACACGATAAGTCTATGTTCAATTTAGGGATTGGAATTGGGGCAACTGCCATATGAGAGGCATCATGCTTGTTTCATTTTCTGCTGTTTGGTAGTATTTCTTTGTAAATGCATACTGTGATGAGACGTACAATCAGTATTGGCTAGTAATACTAGTAACATAACAATGTGTACATTATGACATGATGTGGCATTGCAATAGAATTGTTTCAAAGTAACAACAATATAATAGAAATCACTTTACAAACATATCAAATAATTTATTTACTTTAACATTTAATCAAATCATATCGTCAGTCAGCACAATCAGTATGTATATTCAGACTGTTTCAAATAATAAAATTGATGTTGCATGATAATGATAATGTTACATCTAGCACATTAAGGGCGTACCCAAGGAGGGATTTTCGAGTCTGGACCAACCCCCCTGGATTGACAGAATTAAAAATTGATGAGGCCTAAACCACGGATTATATAATATTGTTGATATTGTATATTTACATAATTATTATTGGTGTCCCATGTTTGGTTGGTACAGGCCCATGCAACTCATAATCCAATATACACAAATGAGTAGTGCTCTTATTGTCGGGTCAAGCTCTTCAGCTCTTGTAACGCGCTCTAGTAGTAATTTGTATTTTACAGAATTTACAGAAACACTTGTTTAGCTATTTAAGTAATTTTAATTTTTCTGTCTTAGAAGGAGTAACATTTATGTTTTTTGGTCAATTCAGTTTTTCGTGACAGGCGAAAGCTGGACAGGTAAAGCTAAAATTTCACCGTAATCTGTAGAATTTAAAATTCCAGGAAGTATGGCATAGCTCCACGTTTTAAATATGTCAAATGAGATTAAAATAATTTTTTTAAGTTTATAACTAATAATAATAAAAAAAAATATATATTTTAGATAAATACATAAATTGAACAAATTCAATTTAAAATACTAAATGTTAGTGAAATTAACTAAAAGTATGTATTGAATATTCATATTATCATTGATAAAAAACTTTTCTAAAAATGTAATGTTGAGTTTTGTTAAATGTTCATGAAAGAAATACAAAATATAGTTTAATAAAAAAAACTATTTGTTTATCTAATTATATACAACAACAATAGTATGTACATTTTTGCTTACTTTTGCTGTTCTATTAGGTTCTTTATTATCTTCTTTTTTAACAAATTCTTTTGAAAATGTGATTAACATATCCTAGCCCCAAATTTTAAAATTTTACCTTGAACCACTCAACAACTTTCCAGACGATTTTGGGTTACACAAAATGTAGGTACTCCTGTAGTTGTACAGTTACATGTACAACAATTTTGTGTCATTTTAATAAATATGAATAATACATTTATATATTACAGGTAAATTTAAAAGTATTCAAACAAAACAAAATAAGTTGTCATTACTTAGGTACTTTTAAACCTTTAAAAGGACAATGTGCCAACACTGATCTGTATATTTTGGCGGTATTTTATAGTCATAGACTCATAGATTATTACTATGAACAAAAATACGAAATAAATGGTTCTATTATTATACTGTTACATTAGCTATACAAAAAATTATACTCAAAAAGACCTAGGTGTACAGTATACTTCTAACTACTAACCTCAAGTATCGTTCTCATATTCTGTCAATTAATTGTAAGGCTTATAAAATGTTAGGGGGGCATCTTCAACGTGTTTTATTTGAGTTCAGACTCTCTTCTCTCCAAACCCTATACAGCTCTCTTGTATGTCCCACATTCGAGTATGGTTAGTTTCGTTATAAGGGACTCTTATACCGCTACTGATTCATCTATTCAAGAGAGAGTTCAAAGATTTTGCTGGTTGTGCTCGGAATATTTCTTAGCCCAGGAGACAGCAAGTAATTTCTATTGAAGTCTGGAATATTAAAACAATAAATTAACATGGTCCAGAAGACAAAAAAATCTTTGTAACATTTTTATATTGTTATATATTAAGTTATATGAAGACAAAACAAACTGTAAGATATATTGACTGTCCAATTTTTCTGTCATCCTCAGCTCAATATTTACCGACCGTTGCCTTATTGCATATTCGCGGGTAATGCACCTAGCCAGTACACATTTTAACGAACGTCCCGTCTGATACACACAATCACTACAAAAGTCACACAGGTAGGTACTCGTTTATTATTATTTTTCGTTATACTGTATTGTTGGTCTTCGCCCGTTTCATAAACAATAATTAACAATTATTAATAGTAGTAGTGAGTACTGTTTTTTCAATTTACAAAACATTAGAACTTCAGCTCTGGTTGGATTGATGCTCACGTTATACACCACTGATAAATGAACTTGCCTAGTACAAATTTGAAACTACTAACTTAGAGGAAAGACAATTGGAACTTGGAAGCCAGAACAGTGGTGAATTTGCAAATTACTGTTCAGAAATTTTGGATAATCGAACGGATAATCAGACGTATCGAAATGTTTTCACTACTTCACTGTTATCGCACCGGGCCCGGTCTCGATCGGTTACCGGAGTTGTGATTAGCAGCGTTATCGCGAATCCGCTTTATCGTGATCGTGATAAGATGTGATAACCCACTCGGCTTGTTTATCATCGCTTACAACGTCTTCCTAGCGAGTGCGAGTGAGAACCGCACACCGCTTCGGCGCAACGGCACGACGTCCTCACACTGCGATCGGCGGTCGGACACACGGGCCACGGACGTCGTCAGATTTTCCCGTCGACCCAATAATACTATAATTTTCTTTACGTTTTCGGTGTGTGCAATCATGGTTGATATATTATATTTTATTTGTGTGTTTCGTGTTTCCATAAATTATGTACAAAACGTCTTCGTGCGCCAGTTGTAATCAATCAGTCGCCGAACTATGGGCAAAAAATCTGCTCTGGTCCTGTATCCATTGACCAAACTCACCGGCATCTTGCGAAAGCACATCTCGGAACATGTAAGTCAGTCTTGTATCGAACTCTTTAAGAGATATTATTCAGGACATTATTCACTTCATTTTTACATTTTCGGAACACAGCCATTCGATCGACAGTCGACTCATTTAACTTTTCTCTGTGCTCTTACGTTAGACGCTATGAAACAGAATTTGTCATTTTTATTTTATTTGTTTCACTGAAACCAAATTCACCAATGTTTAAATTAGAAAATCTACTTGGTGTTTATGTAAGTTGTTGGTGAAAAATTAAAAACCTCACATTTTCCAGCTTTAATACCTACTTGCGTACAATTATGTTATCGCAATTGGATTGTGTATTTACATAATTCAATTTAGTAGGTATTGTTGATTTTATAACTGCTATTCATTTACAATATTTTTGTTTCAAGTAAATTCTTATTACTATTACTGTATTGTAAATATGTATTACTTAAGTGTATTGTTAATTGTAATTAATTAATTTAGGCAATACCAGTGTTTCCCAACCAGCGTGCCGCTGCACATTGGTGTGCCCCAAAAATGTACGGTTATTAACGTTAGGCTAGACGTTTTACTTAAAATTTCGGTAATAGGTTGAAATATTTTTAATTATAATTGTGATAATATTTTTTTTATCTTTAATAAACACACCATTTTTAATTGTTTATTGGTAATGTACTGATATTCAACTACTTTGGTATTAATAATTAATATGATGAAATCCTACTAAAGAAAAAACATGTAAACATATAATTATATAAGTCAGTGACAAGTGTGTTTCGGCTAAATATGGGTTAGGATTAGTGTGCAGCGAAGGAAAAAGGTTGGGAAACGCTGCACTAAACCCATAACTTGAAATATTTAATATCTCTTATACCTATATTTTTCTAGTGTTATTTATTAATGTTATTATTTTGGTAATGTACATATACATTACATTTTTTCAAGCAACACCTATTATTCCTACCCAACATTAACTATTTGTTATATTTTATATTGATACTACCATAATATTTTCATTACCGCCTATCCATTATTCTTTTTCTGACAGTAAATATTGATGAATTTTTTTATATTTCTACCAAAATAAAGTGCATATACCTTTGTATCTAGGGATACAATAGAACTGAAGCCAGTAGGTTTTAGATTAGGTAACTTGTGTTGTACTTGAGATTTATACCTATTATATTTTATTATGACGGCTTAAATTATATAACCTAACATTTAAAAGTTATATCTATTTAAATTAATATAATAATATATAATACAAATATTGGAAATAATTAACATAGTTATTACCCAATGAAATTCCATAAAGTAATTGCTATAAATGGCACTTTATACATTTTTTAATTTTACATAGGCAGTGAATCAATCAATCAAGGTTATTCATCCTTAGATATTCTTATATCAAAATTATTTGATTTATAAATTGTAAGTTATGTTTTTATTTTATTAATAGTTTTATATGCCTACAATATAATTGTATATTTTTTATTTAAATAATCAATATCAATATCAATCGCACACACATTAAATG